CAGGAAATCCAGACCTGTTCTCACCTTTCTGACATCAACTGTTCCAAATCAACACCCTCTCTCTGCTGATACTCCTTCAACAGCTTATCTGCATGATCTGTATCGAGGAAACCAGTGTAGTCTTCCTCATCCACAACACTAATGTAAAAGGGCTGGAACACAGGAGCTGAACTAGAGGTGACCATTACCGTTCCCTCGCTGGCTGCAGGATGTGTATTCAGGGAACCTGACCCGTCCGCAGCTTCCCACAAGCAAAGCTGTTGGAACTGGGATGCACACTCCACCTCCCTGGATAAGGAGCTGCTCACTGCTTCATTTAAGCCAAGCAGTTGAAGGGAGGCACATGCAGGAGATTCTGCTCCATCACAGACTCCCCAGTCATCTGCTTCATCACACCAATCCTTTGCAGCAAAGTTTGGTTCTTGTTTCTGAGAAGAACAAAAAAAAAAAGAAAGGAAAAAGAAACTTGTCAACATCAGCCACCCTCACACACCTCAAATACAGTTTCGTAACAGATAAGAAAACTAAAACCTTGACCTAATGCTTAGTGTTATTTCATCTATTTCCTCACAGTGTCAGTTACCAGAATACCCACGTATACTTTTCACAGCAGCACAGTTACGGCAAAAACCATCTCGCGCTGGAGATGTGCTTTTTGAGCAGCCTTTGTACATCATGTTGCCATGCACTGGCTGCTGCTATGACCACTGACAGCTAATTTGGGTACCTTTATCCAAAGCACAGCTACTGCACCACAGTAACTGTGTAAGGTATGATGCTCAATGGGCAGCATATGGAAGAAAATAATAATAATAACTAAAATAACAATACCATGATTTTATCAGAGTTAAATATCATTTAGTACAGACCAAGATTTCATACTGCAAACGCATCAGCTGAATAAACACTTTCTAATATCACTAGTTTGACAGCCATCCTCTTTAAATATTCCTAAGCCAACACTGATTCTCAAGCAAAAACACCAGAAATATATTAACAATAATTGAGTCAGATTAATTAAAACTGATGATAAAATTTTAAAAATCTATTTAAATTAGAAAATAAAGAAAACACCTTAAAGATCCAAATCTAAACAGTACAGCCCAGTCATTTAGAGTTGAAAAGTTTAGGCAGCTCAATTAAAGTATTAAATATCAGTTTTGATCACACAGTTGGACTGCCATCTCCACTTTAAAACAAGTCAAACATGCATCACAATCAGGTGGCTCATCTCCTAATAAACAATGTGTAGTACTCACAGTGTCAAAAATTCCATGACCATGACTTCTCCACGACTCAAAACTAACACGTGCAGCTTCTTGAGAGAGATTACAGCTACTTAAACAAGCGTATATACACGGTGTGAAACTCATCCAACTCAACCGCATTTTTATTTTAAAACCTCCTCAATACTGCACTTCATCCAGCACACTGACACAACGCACAGAACCCAAGAAGGCAGTTTGCTAGTTATACCTGTTTTACACCCAAATCTTGTGTTGCCTTTTCTTGTGACTGCAAATACTGGGAGCGCAGTACCTTCCAGCTGCACCGTGCCGTGTACAAACAAACAAACAAACACACAGACAGAC